CACAGGCTTTATCTTGTGAGTTATCTGAAGATAAGGGGCTTGATTGTTGTCAGACACCACAGAGAGTCATTACTGGGTGATTGCGAGAGGCTGCCAACGGGGTAAAACTCTCAGCAGGTTCTGCATCGGAACTCAAGGCAGTGAAAGTAGCAGAAGGAGGGGTCCTTGATCTCTATTTATGGTAAAATAGACTGTCGTCCATCAGGCCATGACTTCTCTGAGGTCAGCAACTGGGAATGTATTTATCATTAAACTTGATGATTTTTAAAAAACAGAGAACAAAGTATGTGAAAACTTCTTGTGAGCAAGTAGATGTGTGGATAAATAGATGGATAAATGCATGGGTGGATAAATAAATGCATGGATAGATGCCTACACATCTGGTTGCATAGATGCATAGATAGATGCATTGGATCATGGGTGGATGAGCTAGACTACTTATTTTCAGATCCTTAAGGATGATGTGGTATGTTAGGTTTTCAAGAATGAATTCCTTTTAAAAGTAACCTCCAGGGTGGCCCTTACCTCCACCAAATTCATGCCATACTGGGCTTCTTCCTCTCAGGACTACTACACATACTATTTTCTCTGCCTGATGGGTTTTTCTTCATATTTTCATCCATCAATTAGCTTCATAATATGCAGATGTCATCTTATGTGCTGTATCATTAGAAATGATTCTTCTAATCGCCTAAGTCTAAAATAGTAACCACATTGTTCTCCATCTTAGCTTTATTTCAATGGTCTCCTTAGCATCAATTATACTTTCATGTGTTTATTTGATGATTTTGTTTTGTGTGTGTGCCTTTGTTTCCTTTTCTCTTCCCAATAAAATCTAAGTTTCATGAGTAGTTCCTGGATTATTTACGACTACATAAGTATCTAATTATATTTTGACTGACTGAATGTCTAAATGGCTGAATGGGAATAAAATCAAATGATTTTCCATAATTTTAATTACTATAACTTCTGTATATAATATGCCCCTATAATACATTTAGAATAATGCTAATTATGCAATTTAGACATACACAGCCTTTAAAAAGATTAAATCTCTTACTTAAAGAAAGTGATTATTCTGACCTCTTTACACACCAGCTTTGGAGATATATAAGAGGATAAAAAAATACATTAGTGTCACATCCTTCAATCTTTTTGAAAATGAGGTGAGGTATAAATACACATGTCCACATATACACACACACACACACATATCCCTATATTTTATGCATTTATTAGTTCAGACTAATGAAAAGTATACTCTCTTATAAATAGAGCTTCTTAGTACCCATTCTTTGCTGTATGTTGATTTAGAATAGTGGACTTTTTCCAAGTAAAAAGAGGTTGGTGTTTTCTAGTACAGTGGATTTTACTGAGGTAATTTAGTTTTCTAGGTGGCATTTTGGAATGTGATGAGATGTGTTGGTTGTTATAATTGGGACTAATGTTATTTGGTAGCCAGCACTGCTACAAATCACAAGGCATGAAAAAGTCTTACCCAATGAAAAGAACTTTTCATATCTCACACAACTTTCAAAACTCTGTTCATAATCATCTGAGCTTTGTTTATAATTTTGCTTTATTTTTAAACACAAAGCATTTTGCATTCAAGCTTACCAACTAGACTCCAGCCTCAAGTGCTAATCTCTGGGAGAGGGACTGTGGCCTATTATGCTGTACTCTTTTTCTGAAAATTTAGTAAAACTCAATTATGAAGGCTGTCTCTAACTATGTAAAAAGGGGCTTATGAAAGATGATTACATTGTGAGGTCCTTTCAAAGACCATTTTCTTCTTTGGCAAAATAACTTTCTGAATTTCTAGAAGTATGTAAAAAAAAAATTCCAGAGTTAGGTGAGAGATTTTATTCAAATGCAATTTTAGACAAGTGCAATAGTAAGAGGAAGAACATTGTAACAGAGAGAACACTTTGATTATAAGGTCTGTAAGAGTCCCAAAGTTCAGACAGAATGACTCTTCTATTATCAGGAGAAGTGAACAAAACTGGTACTGGATATGGGGGTGGTTGAGAAGCCTGGCTAGTTTGGTCCAGTTACGTCAGTGAATATTTTGCTCAGATTGGTCAAATTATATGAACTTAATAAATCATATCAATTTTCTGTCCTCAAAATTAAGAGTGTTTGCCATTTGGGGAAGTCACATCACTAGTAGTCATACCAATTATGCTATATACACAGGCAATACAGTTACTTATATAAGTCTGCATTGGAGACCATGAAATTCATGGTAATTCTGGGAACAGAGGCAAAGAGGTGACTATTGTATTGATATTTTATCTTCCAGTGTAGCCATACTAAAGCAATAACACAGTGAAAAATATATTTCATCAGTTGGTTTCCTTTTGTTTCTCCATTATGTCAATTTATGAGTATTAAATAACTTTTCCATTTTCCTAGATTATGTGTAGAGGTAGACAATAATATTTGCTAATTTAATTTCAGAATAATAAAGGAAGCTTTATGAAATATTTGTTCTCTAAAAGGGCTGAAGGTCCTTTAAAATTGAGAACCACTATTCTACTACCAGATTATTATTTATGGATAATGCTGAAATTAATAGAAGTTGAGAAATTTGCCCAAAGTTGTAGAGAATATTGATACAACTACACACATATGTACTCTCAAATTGTTAAATTTTTTGACAAGACAGTCATGGTCTAGGAATAGAGATGCATAAATAGTCTCTATTTTGTCTAATAGGAGAAAGAAATGTTCACACATAAATGGTAAAGTGATTGGTTTAGCAAACAAATTTCTAGAAAATATCATTTCTGATAAGCACATTAATTAAATTTTGCTTTGCTGGGAGATTCTTGCTGTATTTGAAACATGTGGGAAAGTAAAGAGAAATTCTGAGGATCTATTTCTTGATCAGTAAAATGGGAATACAAGTACATTGTGTACCTAATAGCGTTGTGAGACTTTAACAAGCTAACTGGAATGATCCATGACTTTCAAACAATAACATTCTTATGAATTACCTGATGATTTTATTAAAATGTTAACTCTTACTCATCAGATATCCATGTGACTTGAGATTCTGCATTTTGAACAAAATCTCTACTAATTGCTAATGATAGTGGTCGAAGACCACTTTAAGCAGTGACAAGGATATAATTCCCCTGGCTATCAAAAGGGGCCAGTTCTAGTTATACCTCTTTCACCTCTTCTCCCTCCCCCTTCTCTTTCCTCTTGTTCTCTTTTTGAAACTATAGAAGAATGGGCATTGTTTCCTTGGAGATGTGATTGTCTTTGTAATTTTGAAATCACTGCCATTGTACTCATTTAGGAAATTTTGGAAGAAGGGAAATGATGAGATATAGATTGTTTGGGGCTAAGAGGAATTAAGACTCAATTGAAAGAAATTATTGAATGAAGTTTCTTCCTCCCACATGCCAAACTTAATATTCTTAATATTTCTTTGCCCAAGTTCAAAGCAGCCTCACTATATCAATATAGCTAGTAACAGAAAAGGACATGGGTATTATTAATTTGTTCTACAGCAGCATCTATATTTGCTATATACATATATATAATGTATATTATTTGCTATATATAAACAAATGTCCATTTATCTAAAACAGCCTCATATTTTAAAATTCATTTTGCAAAACTGTTTTGTCATTGCTCCACTATGATCTAAAAGAGCACTATTTTTTATGAAAATAGAAGATAAAATGAGGCACAAAAGAGTTATTAGCCTCAAAAACCCACAGATGCTTCTTCAATGGAACTTACAAGAATGATAAACATTTTTTTTAAGAAATGCAGTTTTAAGATATCTTGTAATTTTCACTTTCACCAACAGATGACACTAGTCATTTCTGTAATCTTTTTTTTTTTTTTTAATAACACATCAAGGAAATTCAAGGCTGCAGTTTTGAGAACAAAAGCCTAAGCAAAAGAAACTATTAACTTTGAAATGTTAACATATTAAAATTATCATTTCATAGAGTTTTATTGTTTTTTTGTTGTTATTTTCATACAATTTACAAAGCATAATCAAAGATTGTTCTTGTGGCAAATGACAAGACTTCAATTCTGTTCACCAACCCATAGTTAACAGCAATGATTCTGAAATGAAAGATGCCTAAAGTACTTTCATTGAAGGGATATAGAGATATAAATTTCATATTATAAAAATTGAAAGCCTGTCCCTTTATCTATAAAATAAAATATTTTGAATATATTCTCAGGCAACTTTCTGCTTCTTTTTAATGTAATGGAGTCACAAAAATGAACACAGAAAGACAAGACACTGTCTAAAGATCAAATCAAGTCACCTGATAAAATCAGTTATGTAAATTACTGAGGTCAAAATGCCTCAGCAGTGACATAGGAGTATCTGAGGGTTGTAATGCCTTCCAGATGTTGGTAGCCTATAAAACAATGTTAATGTGAATGGTTCTTCTCTTTGATCTCTCCCAGAGTCATTCATACTCTTGACACCATTCTGGAATTGGAGACACTTCATTGTGGACACTTGAGACCTGTCCATGACTGGGCATACCTCATTCCTGACTTTTGGGTTGTTCCTATAGTCACAGAGGGGCATCCCTGGTGGTTCAGATGGTAAAAATCTGCCTGATTGTGGGAGACCAGGTTCGACCCCTGGGTCGGGAAGATCCTTTGGAGAAGGGAATGGCAACCCAGTCCAGTGTTCTTGCCTACAGAACTCCATGGACAGAGGAGCCTGTTGGGCTACAGGCCTCGGTGTCACAAAGAGTCGGACATGACTGAGTGACCCGTACACACACACACACACACAGACACACACACACACACAGTCACAGAAACCAATGATTTTTGTCATAATTGTAAACTGGCATCAGGCAAGATGCTTCATGAAAGAAACTCTTCTTTCCTCCTGCCCCCAGTAACTCCATGTTGGATAGACATAAATTGCCTTGTGGAACTAAATTTGCACAATGAACACACACACACACACACACACACACAAACAGTTATGTGGTACTACTCACTGTGATGTGCATTAAAAGAAAGATGCTGTGGTTCCAAAAGGAATTGTGAGCACCATGCTTTCTGAAAGGCAATTCAGAAGAAGCCCACATAAAGGTACCTGTCAAAGGTAAACATTCCATTTTAACTAGATATTGAAGAATTTTACAGAAACATGATTTTCTTCTGAATAGTGAAAAAACATAATGCCTGATTATCACTACCCAAGCATGAAGCAGAAATTATACAAACCATTATCATTCCTGATGAAACAAAAGAATATTGAGTAAAGCCAGTCACTTCTCATTCTTTCAAAAATGAGTAAAAAGTGAATGGCTAGTAAAGTCTGTTTGCCTTAAAAAAAAAATCCCTTTTTATTGTCTTGGTTTAAAATAAAATCTTATAGCTTTCTTTTCAGCAATGTTAAACTCCTTGCTAATCCTTCAAAAATACAGTAAAAAATAGTAATAATGAAAACATAGCATATTTGCTTTTCACCATCAATCATTATCAGTTGCCACATGTACTAAATTCAGAGACAGAAAAAAAATTAGATGAGATTTTAAAAAAATATTTAAGTGTAGTGGCTGTTTTAAATGATTTCATGATTTGGGGCAGAATTACCTTCAATAATCATTTTGCATGAATAAATATAGGATAACATTTTACTACATTTTTAAAATAAAATATTTTTCTTGAAATTGTAATGGGAAGGTACATATACATAATATGTGACTTAGAAGAACAACAGTGAAAGTTGCTAAATCATATTATTGCAGGAAAAAAATTGTTAATTGCCTAGATCTTGTTCTGCTTCTGATTTAAGAACTTGAATTGTTTCACTAAGAAATATTTGTTACATGGAAATAGCATTTATGTACATTTATATATGCATTCACATATTAACATATGTACATTATATAACTGTAGATTTTTTTTACCAAAATTTATACTCTTTCCTTCTTTTATTTAAGAACAGAGCTTCTCATCACATATACAAACATGATTTATACATATGAATACAAGAGAAAACATTTCTGTATGTTTGTAGCTTGGCAGTCAGCATATAATTGTTCTGAAATCTCAAAATACGCACAGTATTGAATATTGTTTTTAAATTGTCTTTTGAGCACTATAAATTCCCTGGATTTTTTGTGTTTTCCATTTTTTCTGCATATATGATAGCCTAAAATTTTCCTAGGTATGGTTCTTGCCTTTAAAATAAGCACTAATTACACATATTCTCACCTTCATTACAAAATTAATAGGGAATATTTATAAACTTCATCAACACAAACATCTAGGTCTAGGATTTTCCTCACAAGAAATTTTTCTTTTTTAAAAGTTCTGAATTCAATTTCTTTAACAAATATATAGTTCTTCAGATTTTTAAATTTTTCATCAGTCAATTTTGATATTTTATTTTTTATTAATTGTTCCATTTCATCTAGCTTTTCAATTTCTCTGCATAAATTTCTTTACATTTCCCTTAAGTTTTTATCAGTATTTTTAGGTTCTGTACAGCTATACCCATTTTCATTTCTGATACTGGCAATTTGTCTTTCCACTCCTTTCTTTATTATTCCTGATAGGGCTTATAATCAGTATTGCTGATCTTCTCAAAGAACCATTGCTTGACTATTTAATTTTCTTTACAGTCTATTTTCTATTTCAGTATTATTTTTTGCTTTGTTATTCTTATTTTTATTTCCTCCTGTTTAATTTTGGAAATTTGGTAATTTCCAGCATTTGTGGGAAAAGTTCAGATCATTAATTTTAAAAATCTTTTTTTATCTCATATTAGCATTTAAAGTTCTAAATTTCATTCGTATCATCTTTAGTTGTAAATTTCACCAAGCATTATAAGCAGTTTTTTTTTTATATTTTGATATCTGTGTGTTTTGATTTTTATTTCCCTTGAAATCTCTTTATTGAGCTATGGATTATTTGGAAATGTACAATTTCATCTCCAAATATCTAAGAGATTTTCTCATTGTTATTATCATTGATTTGAAATTTAATTGTTTTGTTTCACATCATGTACTCTGTGAGACTGCAAACTTCTGATACTTATTGAGACATATTATGGCCCAGTGTATGATCTGTCTTGATGAGTGTTTCCTATTTACTTAAAAATGGGTCATATTCTAGAGTTAAAAGCTGTATGTCACAGTCAATTAAGTTAGTTGCTTCTGTTGAGTTCTATATACATAGTTATCTAGCTGTCCAATCAATTACTGAGAAAGAGATAGTAACATCTAAGTATAATTATGTTTTTGTCTATTTTTTCTGATAACTTTTCATTCATATTAATTCATTAGTAAGAAATGTTTTCCATGTGAGTATATACTACAAAAAGTAACATGATTTATGAATAGGCATGTCCTTGTGTCTTATTTTTAAAAGCTGTAATTGAAGTTGAGTTAAAATCATTGTCTCTTGAGTTAGACAACACTGAATTTGAATCACACAGCCACCTCATATGAGTTGTGTGAAAATTTGTCTCTTTAAATATCAGTCTATATAATTGAGAAAGTAAAAATGATACATATTTTATGTATACATACAAAACTCTCTGTGTTGAATGTTAAATGAGATATTTTGCTCAAGTGAAAGACTGGAGATACTAAGAACTTGGTAAATGTAAGTTACCATCATTAGTATCAGCAACAGCATTACCACTATTATTCCCTTATCACTCAGATATTTTTCAGTTCAGTTAAGTCGCTCAGTTGTGTCTGACTCCTTGTGACCCCATGGACTGCAGCACGCCAGGCTTTCCTGTCCATCACCAACTCCCAGAGCTTGCTCAAAGTCATGCCCATCTCGTCAGTGATGCCATCCAACCTTCTTATCCTCTGTTGTCCCCTTCTCCTCCCACCGTCAATCCTTCGCAGCATCAGGGTCTTTCCCAGTGAGTTGATTCTTACATCAGGTGGCCAAAGTACTGGAGTTTCAGCTTCTGCATCAGTCCTTCCAATGAATACTGATTTCCTTTAGGATTGACTGGTTGGATCTCCGTGCAGTCCAAGGGACTCTCAAGGGTCTTCTCCATCACCACATTTCAAAAGCATCAATTCTTATGCTCAGCTTTCTTCATAGTCCAACTCTCATATCCATACATAACTACTGGAAAAACCATAGCTTTGACTAGATGGACCTTTATTATGATTAGATAGTTAGAAGTTTACAAATATATTTTTATAAGCTTTGAAGTAAATCCATGTAGAAGAGCTAGGTTACATAGGGCATTGAGTCAATATACATGCTAGATACAGCATAAAACAATTCATATGCCCTGAAATCTAACTCTATTTTTCCATAACTGGAATTTATATTCTCATGATAGCTTTCACCTATATATAAACATTACTCAGATGTATTTCAAGATAACAATGTAAATGTGAATCATTACTTGATTATGATTTTTTTTAGCTAATTCTTAAGGTCTCTTTGAGAAACACACTGAAGTCTGACTTTGTCCTACAGATCAGTAAATGAAGATTGGGTTATTGAAAGACTTTTCTTTTTCCCCCTACTGATCTGTGTTTGAAATTGTTCTCTGTGAAGTGTAAGAGAATTCTTAGCTGAACTTGCCTATTAATATATACATATACTATATATATGTATGTATATACATACACACACATACACACCTTATCAGCAGATAATGAAACTCTATTTTCAGATTCCTAGATGAATAATTCATCATTGTACTTAGCACAAATAGTGATAAGTTAAAACTTTACTCAAAAAGGACAACAAAGGAGACGGTACACATTCTTATCTATCACATTGGTCTAGTGGGAAATGGAAAGAGCTGACATCAGAGGTCTTTATGGCCCCAGATAGGTATTATACAGAATTATGATCGCTTATGTGAAAGATTGAAATGGAAATAGTTGGGAAACAGCAGTTTTATCTTGTCAGATCCTTTCAGTGGACTTATGGTTCACACTAGCATAACCTGAGCAATATTTGCAAGGAATAGCTAAGTAATGAAAATTCACCCTACAGTGCCAACCAGAAATGAAAGTATCATGTCAGCACAATTCCTGTCAGATGGTCTTTAGATAAAGATTCTGGGCTTTTAACTTCATCTAATGAAAAAAACCTGGGTAATCAGTCTTGGCATGTAATGGAACTTTTATCTCACTGTGTAAGTAAATTATGGATAGAGTTATACACTCAGGAGGTGACCTACATAGCATATTCAAAAGACAAAATTAAGAACAGTATTCAACCTTGACCCACTTTTTTCACCTTCCTGAGAAGTCAGAAGAACTGAATGCAAAATACATCAAAAATAATCATATTTTATTCCCAAGATACTCCTTTAGGGTTCTTATCTTTTTTTAGAGAGTAAGTATGAAACTTCTTTAAATATATCAATCTACAACTCTGAATGAGACCCTGACCTCTGGTGTCAGCAAGACACTGGTTCAAATATTAGCAAAGATGTTTACTTTTTTGTAGCTTGAGTGATTTACCTAAGTTTTTTGAACCTCAATTATCTCATATGTAAAATGAGGACTTGCCTGGCAGAGTTCATCTGATGAACTACTAAAATAATTAAAAAGAAATAATATCTCTATACTTAATATTTGAATACTCAAAAGTAATCAGTATTGGTGATGATGATATTTGTTCTAGATGTGTGGACTTAAGCAAATTACTAAGCCTCTGTGTGGTTCATGTTTTGCCACTTTAAGGGGAAAATATATAAATTTCCATTATACTACAACTCTATATAATGTTGTTGGTAGGATTAAACCAATTAAGTCATGAAAAATGAGGGTAACACTTGCTTTTCACATTTTAAAAGTTTCATTAAGTGTTACATTTTGTTATTTGAAATGAGAGTAGCAGATCGCTTTAAGAAAAATACATGCTCTGGAACCTTCCTACCAGGATCTGAATATCAGCTCTATTACTTATTCAATCACTTTTTATTACCCTTTCCTCATCTCTAACATTTGTGGTTTAGTAATAGCATCGGTCACACAAGATACTTGTGCAGATTAAAAGAGTAATACATATATTAAGAGCTTAGAACAGTGTCTGGCACATAGTAAATGCATAATAAATGATTTGACCCTCTGTGTGTGCCTTTCAAAAAATAGATAAAATTATAAAGATTCATATAGCAAGCACCCATATGCTCAGTACCGATAGTTTACAGTGAATGATGTCGAATTCGTGATCTCCGAAGAAGATTTAGCTTTGGGACCAGGGACCAGGCTTGAACACTCAAGAGCTTTTGTGTAGCAGAGTTTTATTAAAGTGAAAAGGGGCAGAGAAAGCTTCTGATAGAGACATCAGAAGGGGGACGGAGAGTGCCTCCCTTGCTAGTGTTAGCAAAGGAGTTATATACTTTTTAAATTAGTTATTACAATAAATCAAAAGAATGTCTCAAGGTTCTAAAGATCTTTACTAGACCCACTCCCACAATTTACATTTTAGGATAACAGGATTAGAACTTAACAATAGAAAGATCCTACCAGACCCACTCCCATAATATACATTCTAAGATACCAGGATTAGTCAGAAGCTTTTCAGGAAGGAGAAGCTGTCCTCAAACAGATACATTATTGTTACATAATCCCTAGTACAAAGTTTAAACCGAGTTGTTTATTGTGTAATCATCAGTTCCAGGCTTAAAGAAAAATAACCATTTTACATGACTATGACTAAGAAACGTAGAGAAAAAAAAAGTTTGTCCTTCCCTCCTCCTCGAGAATTCCAGACCCCTATCTCCTTGAGAGCCCCAGACTGCTTTCTCCTCCTCTGGGACCCTGGACTTCTTATCAACCTTCCTGGGAATTGACTCTCTCAGTACCAAGAAGTAACAAGTGCTAACAAGTTCTATCTAACAAAATGAAATATTTCAATACTCTTTTATACTAAGTGAAATACTGAAAGTTGTTCTTTCTTTCTTTCTTTTTGTGTAATCCTACCACACCAAATATTAAAACGATTAGTTACTGGTAAAGAACATGTGCTCTTGGAATCAGATCTCCTAAGTTTGTATTTTAGTTTTACTACTGAGTACTGTTCCATCCTGGCTAAGTTACTTTCCCCTATCATGGTCTTCTTATTGGTAAAATATTGATAACAGTACTTTCCTTACAGCTCCATCATACACACACGTATACACACACACAAACAAAAACATGTAGGAAAAGTTCTGAGTACAAAGCATATCTGTGTGTCTGTCACTCAGTCATATTTGACTCTTTGCAACCTAATGGACTGCAGCCCACCAGGCTCTTCTGTCCATGGGATTCTCCGGTCAAGATTGCTGGAGTGGGTTGCCATTTCCTTCTCCAGGGGATCTCCCTGACTCAGGGATTGTACCTAAGGCTTCCATGGTGGCTTAGCTGGTAAAGAATCTGCCTGCAATGCAGGAGACTTGAGTTCGACCCCTGGGTTGGGAAGATCCCCTGGAGAAGGGAATGGCTACCCACTCCAGTATTCTGGCCTGGAGAATTCCATGGACAGAATAGTCCATGGGGTCGCAAAGAATTGGACACAATTGAGCTACTTTCACTTTCACTCCTACATTGCAGACAAGATTCTTCACCGTCTGAGCCACAGGGAAGCCCTCACATCACTGAAAAACAAATTCCTGAAACAGGAATTAATGTCATGGTTTAGGATGGGATTTGAAGAAATCATTTAATCTAATCTTTCTATGCAACTTCAGTGTCTTGAATTTAAGTTCTAGGAGGGCAAGATTTTTGCTCATTGCTAAAATTTGTATATATTTGATTTTCAGTGCCAATAATAAAGAACTCAGTAAATATTTGTTGAATATTTATTAAATGTTACATGAATAGAAAAAAACTACTTCGGTCAAATACATGACTATATTTTAGCCAAATAGATTTTAGTTATTTCATTTTTTTGACTAATAATCCTATGACATCAACCCCACCCACACTGATTTATGTGTATGAATTATAATAGCTAGTATTTATGTTGCATTTAGTATGTGCTAAATTCTTTTCTAAGCACATTGCCTGCATTAACTCATTTACTCCTCACCATAATCCAATGAGAGTGTTACTAGCCCATTTTAAAGATGTAAATTGAGGCATAAAGTACTAAGTCATTCTCATTGGATCATATAATCAATAAATATCAGAGGCAATTCTCAAATTTAATCTCAAACCCTAGCTCTAAAACATTTGCTTCTGACTAGATTCCTTGTTGGCCTCCATTTGTTTTTATTTTGCACACACACACACACACACACACACATCTTTGTTAAAACAAAGATGTTTTAACAACTGATCATCCTTGTGAGGAAAAAAAAAAGCACCAGAACTGTATGGCAGAGTCTTTTCTCCTGAAATCTGACCACATGACAAAATCCTGAAGACCTTGAGAGGAGAAAAGAGATGTACTGTTCCCTTATACAATGTAAAGAACAGGAGAATCACTTGAAAATAGTCTTATTTGTTTGGAACACAATGTTTGAAAAAGCATTGTGTGTGATGCAGTGTGATCTCTACTGTTGGATCTAATTGCCACTGAAAAGCCAGAAAAAAAACAGACTAACTAGGGCTTGACTTGTTTCCCTTAAAACTCTTTACTTTAGTATAAAACTGTCCTTGCATCCCTCATCATCTTAATACCCTGAGCCAGAGTATTTATCATCTTATTTGGGGTTATTGTCTATACACATTTATTAATGGTCTTGTTACTATATAGACACATGTCTGGCTCCTCCGTGGCTCAAAACATTCTCAGGAGTGAATTCTTTTGTCAAATCACTTTTTAATCTTAGTACTTAGCATAGCCCAGCACTTCACAGGACATTCAATAAACATTTGTTAAACCGGTGAATGAACAATGAAAATGGCTTTAAGCAACAGATACTCTCTACAATTTTACCAGGCACATTGTACTTACCACTCCACACTTACTGAAGTGGGCTGACAATCAGAGAAAATCGTGTTCCTTTTTACCGTGGATTTAAGCTGTTAAATGAATAACAAATGAAGACCTCTACCCATATTAAAGGAGTCTCTTTCATTATTATTATTAAGATGCATTAGCACACTATAGCACTTGATTGAAGTATTCTTTGCTGTGATGGCCACTGAAGGCTTTAAGCTTGAGAACTGCTAAACTGTGAAGGGAAACACAAAAGATAGAGGTTTGCATTTTCTTTGATCTGCTCAGGGTGTCTGATTGAGTTTTCACTTTCTTTAAAATTTGTATCAGATTGAAACTTAGAAAAGAGCAATAGGAGAGACTAGAGTTTTAAGAGAGTTTCCTACTATTTTTACAGAAATAAGGTGAGGATAGGGCCACTGGTACTAAATGCATTCAATTTTGAATTTAAATTACTTGGAGATACTAATCTCTCTTCAATAAAGTACTCCTTGCCCTGCCCCCTCTCCAGAAGACACACATTCTCTCTTTCTCCCTCCCACTTCACCATTCCACGCCACTTTTAGTATGCTGTACTTATATTTTAAAAATATGTTGTTGTTGATCTACCATACTGTTAGAGTGCCATAATAAAGGAGTAAAGTCTTCCAAGGGTAAGGCTTGCTTTTCTTATACATCTACCTATATATATCTATCCTCAGTGCTTTCATTTACTTGGATTTTCTGACATAAACATTCCTATACATAAATCATGTGAAGCTCAGCCAAATTAACTGAATTACACCCAAATTACCCAGATCAGAATGTAGGTTTCATTGCTGGGTACCATACTATGGGCTGTTGAATTGTTTTCTATCTGAGTAAAATGGGAATAGATCACTTTAAACCTGGTGACAAGCATGAAGTCAGGCTGTGTTTAACTGTATACCTATCAAACCCATTCCAATATGGGTTTCAATTAACTATTGATAAATCTATACGGCAGTGAAATCAAAGAGAGAAGGTGCATGTGGTATCTTGCGGTAGAATAAATTTTCCATATGTATGTAGAAAAGACCTGGTAATTAAAAGTTGTCAATATTATTTTTATTGCTTTATGCATCTATAGACTATAAACTTTTTCACAGGACTCTACATATTACAACAAAGGGATTTTTAAGCAGTAAACATGTGTGTTTCCCATACTCCACCACTTCCCTGAAAGTTCATCCTAAACAACTTGGACATAGGAAAGAAAACTTTCCAAGATTTAAGTTACTCAGGAGGTAGGGGACAAATTGCTTAATTTTTGAAGCTATATTAAGGCAAGTAATTAGGGAACCATTATGTGGTAAAAACGTATTAACATATCTCCAAAAGGTAATCTACTCCCACTTAGCTTTATTGACCTGCCTAATAAATCCCACAGAAGGTGATGGTGGAGTTCCATTTATTTTAGGAAACACAATTTAGATAGAATTTTAGTATGAGTTATTGTTGAGGTAGAAAGAAATGAACACATTTTGTTTCATCTTGAAATGTTCCCTTTTGGAAAATTTAAGTCACCCCAAGCGAAGGACCATTGAATATCTAAGTAGTCTTTGAAAAATGAGATCTTTTTCCAGATCTTAACTCTTCTGGCAAAGCCCAAATGTATCTTTGTTTCTGACACTGTCATAAATCCATGTTTGTGAGAATTTATTCTGTGCTTTTACATTAATCTTCATGAATAGTGAAAGTAATTTCCTCTTACTGTTCAAAATTTCAGCTAGTAATTGGTCAGTAATTCCAGAAGCTAAAACATATAAAGATTCTTTCTAAATTAGCATATGATGTTATATTGAACAATTAATGAATATTCTGCAAATTTGCTCTGTGAAATCACCACATTTTACTTCAAAATAATGATGGATGTCAAGATTTACATCTGAGTACCAGTATTTGCCAAATAGAAATTATGTTTAACAATTGTTATACTGTTCTTAAAAATATTCTTAAAGTTGAATAAGAAGGGGGCAACAGAGGATGGGATGGATGAACAGCATCACCGACCTGATGGACCTGAATTTGAGCAAACTCTCGGAGATAGTGAAGGACAGGGAAGCCTGTCCAAGGGGTCACAAAGAGTTGGACATGGCTTAGTGACTAAACAACAAGTGCATACTGATAAAAGTTGATTAGAGATTATAAAAATTAAAATAGTTTAGATTTTTCATCCTCAGTTTTCCATTGATTGAGATTCTTAGAATTTTAAGACAGTAAGGAGCTACCCTTCCTTAGATTTCAAAGTTAGTTTTATCCTGAAAATCCATTTTTCACATGAAATCTGGTGAGGAACACCAACATGGAAACAGGGGAACTTCTCAGGGTAAATCAGAAGGGAACTGGGTGCTGTAGAATTTCTCCCAACTTCCTCCCTGCCATGCTTTCTCAAAAATTTTGTCAGGTACAGCTTGGAAAGTAATGATCTCATCAAATAAATACCAGTTTGTAAAATAATTTTGAAAAAAATCTGGAGATGTTAAATGTACTGAATTATCTAGTATCACACAGAGAAATGAAGGCAAAAATTAGAATAGATATCAGTTCAGTAATCTTTTATAACAAGCTTCTCCATGAAAACATACCTGAGAAAATTGTGCTCTTGTTGACCACTCCATCTTCTCGGCAATTGCATCATTTATTGGTTGTGCTATTGTGACACGATGCATTCTGTGAAATGCTTCAGGTCAGGGAAGTATTCTGCCTCTTAGGGGACTAAAAACCATTTGAGGGTAGAAACTATATAGAACATCTCTTGGAATCCCATACTGTACTTTTAATCTACAAAAAACAAACAACGGATAAAAAATAAAACCAACATAGAATATAATGCAGTATTGCTCTTTGGGCAATACATTTTGCAGAACACACTTACACAGAATATGAATATGTGTCTCCTAAAAAAAGAATTCCAGGCACAAATATATGTGAAAGCAGTTGGATTAAACAAAAGTTAAACAGTGCCAATGGAATTCTCAGTTTTTTAATATGCTAACATTGCTAATATGCTAAGTTGGATTTTTTCAAATTTATTTGTCATTGAGCCTCTTAAAAATGTGTCTAATATTGTATCCCTCAGGATGGTGATCTGTAGAATATATTTAGTAAAGGATAAGCAAAGGCCAAGTCTAGAAGTCCAAAGTTTGCTGATTCTAACTTGAACATTCCTTTTACTATGTAACCTTTGGGAAGTAACTTATCTGAGCCTCAGTTCTTCATCCATAAAAATGGCATGTATAACACTAGCATTGCCTATGAGAGAGTTAGTTAAGTACCAAATAGGATTATGATTATAAAATTATTTATATAAATTTACATGCTATTTAAATGTAAAATTTGCTTTTTGTACTGTAAGTTTATAATCATAATTTCAGTGGATTAAATTTGAATAGAGACACAAAGAGCATAGTTTCAGCAAACCTTTTCAGAATAAAAATAGTAATGTTTCAGTCAATTATGTACTTTCAGATGTTAAACACAGTTTTATTCAAAGAACCTGTAATTATAATAGGCATTTTTCAATTACTTCTAGTAACTGAAAATTTGGATGATAATCTCTTTTATTATAAACTGATTTCTCCTATGGAGAAGTTAATTAGAAACTGCCAGATTCTATATGTTTATAAGTATAAAAAAAGATTGACTAGATATATTAAATGTATTTGAGCTATTTGATTTTTTGTTTCTATAAAAAATTAAATTCACATTTCAAACAAAGAACAATATCAGTTCAGTTCAGTTAAGCTGCTCAGTCATGTCTGACTCTTTGCGACCCCATGGACTGCAGCATGCCAGGCCTTCCTGACCAACACCAGCTCCCGGAGTTTACCCAAACTCATGTCCATCGAGTCGGTGATAACATCCAATCCTCTCATCCTCTGTTTTCCCCTTCTCCTCCTGCCTTCAATCTTCCTCAGCATTAAGACCTTTTCCAATGCGTCAGCTCTTCATATCAGGTGGCCAAAGTATTGGAGTTTCAGCTTCAGCATCAGTCCTTCCAATGAACACGCAGGACTGATCTCCTTTAGGATGGACTGGTTGGAACTCTTTGCAGTCCAAGGGACTCTCAAGAGTCTTCCCCAACACCACAGTTCAAAAACATCAATTCTTCAGCGCTCAGCTTTCTTTATAGTCCAACTCTCACATCCATACATAACCATTGGAAAAACCATAGCTTTGACTAGATGGGCCTTTTTTCACAAACTAATGTCTCTGCTTTTTAATATGCTGTCTAGGTTGGTCATACCTTTCCTTCTAAGGAGTAAGCATCTTTCANTTTTTCATGTCAAAAGAGTGTGGATATAAAGAGAAAAAGTAACAAATTTCCCCTATATTCAAAATTTGGCCAATTCAAAATAGAATATAATTTTCATGAGGATAAGGATGCTGTCTACTCAGTTTTCTACTTCACTCCAGAGTCTGTAAGAATGTTTGGGATAATTTAGGTAGTTAACAGATATTTCTCCACTAACAGATAGGATTAATACTGCCCTGGTTCCTTACAGAAACAAAAATTCTTCGTGAAAGAAAACATCATCCAATATCTCAAATTATGTTTACACATATTTCAAATCCAGTACAAGTCCAAATACATATACAAGTCAAATACATGTCCAGTACAAGGTATCTAAGCAGATTTTTAAAAAATTTATGACTAAAAAAATGGCAATATACACAAGAGGTAGAAGAAACAGAAGAACAGGTACTACAGATATTGGAAGTTTTTTAAAAAGTAATAATAACAGATAAAACCCATAGTCAAGAGAATGAAAAGACAACCACAGGCTGTGAAAAACATTTGCAAAGATGTATATGATAAAGGACTACTATTCAAAACATACAAAGAATTCTCAAAACTGAAAGAAAAAAAATCCAATTAAAAAATAGGCCAAAGAGATGCTTCACATTATGTATCATTCAGTTCAGTTCAGTCGCTCAGTCGTGTCCCACTCTTTGCGACCCCATGAACTGCAGCACACCAGACCTCCCTGTCCATCACTAACTCCCAGAGTCCACCCAAACCAATGTCCATCAAGTCAGTGATGCCATCCGACCATCTCATTCTCTGTCATCCCCCTCTCCTCCTGCCCTCAATCTTTCCCAGCATCAGGGTCTTTTCAAAGGAGTCAGCTCTTCACATCAGTATGTATCATGAAAGAAATGCAAATTAAAATAACAATGAAATACCACTACACATCTACACATCTATTAAAAT